CGGGGGGGGGCAATTTGCACTTTCCTACTTCCCTTCGACGTGACCCATCTTGCCAAACTCTTCTTGAGTTGACAGGTGGCTTGATGAACCTGCTCCAGCTTCATAAGAGCTCACAGGTTTCACCAGAGTGAGATTTCGGAACTAGTGAAGCGATAAAAGTGAAAAAGCCCCCGACCCCCGTCGCCGAGCTGCACCGTACAGGGTTCTAGCGCTACCCTTTGGACTTTGCCAAGACTTGGTCGTAGAACGCAGACAAGCAGAGTCGTAGAGGGGCAGAGAAGGCATGCTCACTCTGGTGGAAACCTGTGAGCTCTTGTGAAGCTGGAGCAGGTTCATCAAGCCACCTGTCAACTCAAGAAGAGGTTGTCTAGATGGGTCACGTCGAAGGGAAGTAGCGAAAGTGCAAATTGCCCCCCCCCCCGTCGCCGAACAGCGCCGCCCTTTGCTATTCCCGATTGAAATAGGACCGATGTTGAAGAGTGTTAAATGTTCTTCATTACAACATGACAGGTACCATTGAGACCTGTACATTCTGAAACACTCAAGGCTGGAAGATGCGAGAAAGGAGGCCTGTAAGAGGAATGAGTCCAAACTGGGAAATCTTCTCGGTATTGGTGAATCAATTCATGGTCGCGGTTTTAAATGGCTTGAGTGTTCTGCATCAAATGCCGAAAAGTGCCGGTAGGACCAATAGTAGGGATAAGTTATTGGTCAATTCTAATATTAAAAAAATAATACGTCAGATCAAGTTGTGGAGAAAAGCGACAACCAGTCGATGTCCCTTCCAGGGTACGTTCCGGGGAAAAAGTTTTTAAAATAAGACCTCCGAGATCCCTCCTTCAGGTACGGCCCTCCTTTCCCATTCCCCATCTTGCCTGTCAACTTCCTGTATTTTCCCAACTTCCTACCACTCATCAACAGTTTTTCCAGGAATTCTCCAGTTCTTCCCCAAACCATTCCGTCGAGGGGCGGGATTTCGTAACCAGTCTACTAATGATTTCAACTATTAGAAATTGGTTGTATAGGGCAAGGAACGACCCCTCGCTCTAGCGACCAAAAATACTACTCTCCCTCGCTGAGGACCCTCAACGTACGACGAGCCCTCGTCCCTTTTCCTCACCTGCCCCGACGCCTCTATCTCAACTCGGAGTCGCCACTGTCGAATCTTGCAAAGCAGAGACGGCCACGATGTCGCGAGTCCTCTCCGCACTGCGGTAGCCCTGGACAAAGGTCAAAGTTCACCACAAGATTGCTGACTTCT